TTGCCTCCCAGCTCTTTCCTCTATTTCCCTTGATTCACCTCCTGTGAAATAGGGTCTTTATGTTAACATTGAAACCAGATAAGGAAAAAGGCCTACAAACCACAGTATAACCAAGCACAGAAAGTCCACATTAGGGAAGGGGTCATTCTCAGAATTCACTACCGGAGTCCATTCGGACTCACAGGGACTCTGTAGGACAGAGTGAAACTGCCCCATTTGGGTTTCCAAGACTTTCTGTCTTTGCAGGAATAGCTGGTGGATTTGAACCGCTGACTTTGTAGTTAGCAGCACCATCCGGGCTCCTTGGAGGAATGCTAGAGACTGAAATCTGTTGTGATCAGGAGATAGATCCTACAATTAAAAGATCCCAAATCTATAAGGGACCCTAGAATCATTACGGCCCATCTGAGAGCCTTCACAGTAGAAATAGGATGAAGTCACACATCTGGGGACAATTTCACAGTGAATGTCTCTGCTTTAACAAGCACTCATATGCTAGCATGATGTTGTTTAGAATTCACCTAACACATTTTATCCATAGTTAAGATTTGAGAAAACCTTAAAATTCTGTGATTTCACTTATCATACACTAAGGTGACAAAAACACCTGGCACGAGTCTATCCTGAATCCAGGCCATGCAGTAACTTCACTGCCTTCCAGTTATGTGCTATGGTACAGAAAGAAAGGGTATTAAAAATCCTACAATAGCGAGTTGATGCTTGGACAGACAGACATGCAGGCTGACAGGTGTGAGATGGAAAAGGTTACAGGTTTATAAAGCAGATAATCAGTATACCTATGAATATACACAGGCTTGACAGAGGCTATTTGTATATGTCTTTTTAACTTTGTTACAAATATATCTGTGAATGTGGTGGACCGTACAGAGAACAAAGTTAGGAACACATTTTAGATGTGAAAAACCTTGAAAGAATGAGTTACTGGGTCTAGGGGACCAGGACCATAGTCTTGGGAGATACCAAAAAGTCACAAAAACACTGTTCCACATTCTAGTTTCCTAAATATTGAATGGATATTAAAAGTTCAGTGAGCAGCCAGGTAAGTAAAGTGAGACTACTGGTTTCTCTCCAGAAGAAATATGAGTGACAACACAAGGAAACAATTCGTCTAATGGAATAATGGACCACACCAACACTAGTCTCCATCACCCTGAGACCAGAAGAACTAGATGGTGCCCAGCTACCACTACAAACTGCTCTGAAAAAGATCACATTAGAACAGCGGTTCTCACCCCTGTGGGGTCGAATGACCCTTTCACAGGGGTCGCTTCATTCATAACAGTAGCAAAATGACAGTTATGAAGTAGCAATGAAAATAATTTTATGGTTGGGGGTCACCACAACATAAGAAACTGTATTAAAGGGTTGCGGCATTAGGAAGGTTGAGAACCACTGCATTAGAAGGTTGTGGATAAAGCGGAAGGAAAATGTGAACAAAACTCAAAATTATAACCAGGCTTAGTAGCTGGAGAGACGCTGGTAGAACGCTGACGACTACGGCCCTTAGCCACCCTTCAGGTCTGGAACTGAACTCACTCCTCTATTTGACTCATCGACCATTTATGATCAAAGGGCAGCATTTACCCAAGGACAAAGTTCAGAGGCTAAGGAACCAAGAAACAGAGGAAGACGGATAAATGATGGTACACTGAGGGGATTGCAGTGGATGAGATGAAACAAAATATGTGTAAACTGTTACTGTAAAACTAATGATCTGCTTTCTAACCCTCACCTAATTCACAATAAAAATTGTCTTTTTACTTTTAAAGAAAGGAAGTTGAAGAGCTCTCTGTGACTTGCACTTGGGATGCATTCAACCAACTGACAATGCTGGTGTGAGCAGCGCTCACACTAGGTCTTAACCTTAGACAAGGCTGATAACGTCCTGGGCAGACACTGAGTCCCAAACAAAGAATATGGAACAAGACCACACTTCCTCTTTCGTTTCCATGAAGAACAAGAACTTTAGTTAGACACATACAGACAATAGTGAGTTAGTGGAATTCCAGATGGTGTGTTGGCATTCCAAACCATCAAACTACTATAATCCTTTGCTTCCTGAGTATCCAAAGTGGGGTAGAGATGGAAGCTTACCACTTCAAAGCACGTAGCAAGCTTTAGCAAAATTTTCGCATAATCATGGAGACGTCCGATTGGCAAGAAAAACAACGTATTCAGTATTTCCATCAACTGCGTGTTTTCATCATTCACTTCAGATAAGCCTTGTAATAGCTCCTGGTTTTTATTGAGGAAATCACTGGAAGGAGAGGAAGCAAGATATTCAGTTAGTCATTTTGTTACTGACGATATAAATGACACTACATAGAAAATATGTCACTAGATAATACCTTTTTCTGAATGCATTATTTTTGGAGCTAAGGAAATAGTAGAAGATCAAGCACAATAAAATATGCTATGTATTCTCAAGCCACAAAATGGAATTTTTGAGTATGAAAACAAGCCAGTGGTAACAAGAGTAATAATAACTCTAAGACAAATGATTAATCAGAGAACTGTGCCTCATGGTCTTAGTCATGCACCCCACAGTTCCAGGGAATAATCAGAGAAGACCAGTTGGTATCATCCCCTGTTAATTCCATCATGGCCAAAGTCACCATAATAAATGGCCAAACTAACTGGGCTAGTCAGCTACACCGAAGGAAAAACAGAGTTCCCCGCAATGATATGGGATATCAAAGCACTTGTAATGTCTTCTTTTTTCCTTCAGTTGTTAATCACCTAATAGCAGTTCACGACAGGAGAGGAACAGAAAACGGTAGGAATCACTACAACAATGAACAGGAAACAGTAAACCAAATTGCAGGCCAAGAACGCAATGCTGGGCTCTGCAAAAGCATTTCAAATTGAAACTAACATGTTCATTTTAAAAATTCTTAAGAAGCTTGTAAAGAACTAAGAGCTAGTGGTACAAAATAATAATGATTACCGGAAACATCAGTGGTTCAATTCCAACAGCCCCTCCATGGGAGAGATGAGACTGTCTACTCCTCTAAAGATGTATAGCCTCAGTAAAGCTGGGGGCAGTTTCACTGTGCCTTGTCTGGCCACTGTTAGTTGGAACTGATGCATGGTAATGGATTTGGTTTTTGGGTTTTTTTGGTTTGTCATTGATTAACAGTTCTGTGCCAGGCATACTACAGTTCTTAGCTACGAAGCCTTAAACAAAGCACAATGTGAAAGGCAAGGGTGTGTTACTTTAAGGTCCCTTTAAGAACTGTGGAGTAAAGAGATGTTGAACTCAGAAATTACTAAATATTATCTCATCTCAGAAAAATGGACTAAAAAAGTATGTACTACTTTCAGGAACCCAAAAATTCAATAATGCAAATCTGATTGTTTCATAAGGCAATTAATAAGACAAAACTTAATTTCTTTAAACCTGACTGTTGCTAGGTCAATGCATTTGCTGAGAAATTACACTGTTTAGACTTACTGCCCTCATTAAAGGGGCTTTCACATCTATGATTCATCCAGAAGCTAAATAGAAATACTACATATCTGTGCAATGCGTTGCACTTTCCTGTGTACCACAACATACACAATTTGTTCCTCACCACAGCTGAGCGCATTCTCAGTTTTCAAATGGGGACATGCGGAGGAGTTTTCCAAAGTCTGCAATCAGAGGTGTTTAAGACATTCAGGGGGTCTAAGACCAGACTAGGTGTCCCGATACTCTAGGACTGACAGCACCTGTGAGCGTGAGTGGAAAGTCTCCACTTGCTTCACCTGGTACACTAAGTCAACGCTGTCCTGGGTACTCGAGGCTCTGAGAATTGGAACAGGAGGTATGTATTTGCTTACATGGCAGGCTTAGCAAGAAGCTGGAATCCTCCCATGACCACGAAATTTGTAATAGATGTACAATACCTTGAGCAAAAAGAAAACACAGGTATATTAGTGTTAAAATCTAACTTTGTTCTTGAGCGTTTCGAACCAGCACCTGGGACAGCTACTTTTTGGTCTCCCAGCAGGGAACTTTTGTGCTGTCAGCATTCATGAACCGCAAAGGACTGGAGACAAGGGCAGGGCTGGTGACAACCACAATAACTAGGGCGGAAATGCCACTTTAGTGGATTGATGTTGATGTCACAATAGAAAACTTTCCAAGATGTAATTTACCAAGGTGAAATTTACCTCACAGATTTTACTTAACTATGATTGAAGTCATTCTGGGTTTTTTTAATGTGAAAATTTCTTTGACAGTCACTTCGGGTTTCCCAACTAAGTCTTCAGGGATGAACGGTAAAGACAGTAAGTAAGAAGGCATGCTGACAGAGACTGAGTGAGGCGGCAAAGGAAAATCTTGGTTAAGCATGGATAATCTACTAGAATAAGCATCGCTGCATTGCTCAGAGACATGCACATTTTCTACCAAACTCCTAGAGTGGCAAATGGAATTAACTGCCTTTGAGAGAGAAGGTGAATTTTACAAGTATAAGGGAGATCCCAATTAAAAATAGCCAAGGTACCAAATGAGTGCTTATCAAGCACAAAGACCTTAAGTGTCCAAGAAGACAAAGAGTTAAATAGGAATATCAGGAGACAAACATATCAAAAAAGGAAAATTATACTAGGAACAGCTGAAACTTTCACACAAAATATAAAATCTGGTTTACAAAAAGTGAGTATGAAATTATCTTACTTTGTCACACCTTGAAAAATTATGGATTTTCTAAAGACTCAAGTCAGTTTATTTCCTTTTGGTCAATGGCTCTAAATATATTCGTCTTAGCATGTAATTAAAATTACACACACACACACACACACACAAATATTTATGTAGGCCTGAAAGGAAATACACGAAACTGATAAACCATGGTTACTTCTGCCTATCTTTTTGATGATTTTACTTGTACAGCTTTGAAAGCACATATTCACTGTGGTTGCTGTTAGTGGCAGCCAAGACTATTCCAACCCAAGGTGACTCCACGTGTCCAGAGTAGGTCAATGCTCCATAGGGTTTACGACCTGTTATCTTTTGGAAGCAAATGGCCAGGTCTACCTTTGAGCTCATAGTCAAATGTTAAACCAAACCCACATTACTTCTTTTGTAAATAACTTAACCCAGGCAGACAGCAACAGTGAGGACAGGAGCTTTCACCAGCTCCCGGCTCTGGGGCAGAGCCCAGCGCAGGGCCTGGCACGTGAGAGCCCTCAGGTAGCACGGCCGCTGGCTGAGTCTGAGGAGATGCAGTACCAAGCTTCTAGGTCAGGACAAAGCATATCTGAATCTGAGGGGGCTTCAAAACGTTCATGGAAGTTTCATTATCTTTTAGCTCCATTTTTCCACAAACTTTTAAAAGCCACTTACATAAATCAACTTTCTACTCCTGTAGAGAGTTACAGTCTTGGAAACCCACAGAGGCAGTTCTACTGTCTTAGAGGGTCTCGATGGGTTGGTGTGACAAATTCAATGACAAACAAAGATTTTTGTTTGTTTGTTTTGGAGCTTTATCTAAATTAAAGTAACATTTAAATGAGGGCTAACATCAAAATGCTAAGTAAGGAAAAGTGAAGAAAATTTCAGGTGAAGTTTTCAAGTACACTTGGGAAATTTTTTTTTAACCTGGAAAATGAGAAAAATCTTGGATTACTATCTTAGGTTTAATTTTTATCAAGATCTATATTATGAAAGTAGTCTGTTGTTAGAACCTTCATTTACATAACAGTAGTTAAGTGACAGCAGAACAGCTCCACATTTATACTCTGCAGTTGGTTTTAAAATAATTTGCTGCTAGTTACTTTTTCCTCAAATTGGAGTCTGCTTTACTTAAGCAAAGAGAACTGCTCTTTGGAAAACAGACTTGCTGCAGTATCCACACTGTATGTGACCTTAACACACTAATACCCATCATTCTGCTGGAAAAAGAAATAATAGAAATTCATTATTTTTAAGCCATTTGTTTTAGAGCTAACTAAATTTTATCCATGAAAACAATAGTTGGTTTAAGATTAAAACAGTGCTTTGCGATTTCTATCAGCTCATATCACTATCCCTAATCGGGTCCCTTCTAACTAAGGAGCTGCTCTCTGCGGCGGAGTCAGCCTGCAGAGATTGGACGTGACGCGGGGCTGGATACTTGCTCTGTGTAGCTATCCAAGAAGAGACCTGCATGCTTCAGAATGACCAAACTCCTGGCTTCCTTTCTCCCATGGAGGAAGCTGCTCAGGGAGGTTCCATGCTGACCAATTAAGTAGCACAGCTTGCTGAATCGGCTTGCCACCTCCTGCAACAGCTGGACTGTTGATGCAGGGCCCAGATTTTCTGTAACAAAGAATCATGGTGAGAATGAGGATGGCACAACGAAAGACGTTAAAGTGCTTCAGCCTACTCATTATCTGGATACTTCCTTATAATCAAGATGATAAGCCCCCACCCCTGTCCTGATACTACTTTATCGATTGGATGTCATTTTTAACTGCTGTGGCGGTGTAGGGTTGAGTGGATTCTGACTCCCGACTCCCAGTAACCCCCTATGACAGAGCAGCACGGTCTCCTGAGGGTCCCAGGTCTCATCATTACAGAGCAGACTGCCCAGTCTTTTCTCCCAGGAGGCAACTGGCTGATGGTTCAACCATCAACTGTTTGGTTAGAACAGCAGTTCTCAACCTGTGGGTCGTGACCCCTTTGGGGGTCGAATGACCCTTTCACAGGAGTCGCCAGATTAATCACAGAGGCAAAATTACAGTTACAAAGTAGCAACAAAAATAATTTTATGGTTGCGTGGGGGGGAGGGGGGGGGTCACCACCACATGAGCTGTATGAAAGGGTCACGGCATTAGGAAGGTTGAGAACCACTGCTCTAGAAGCTCCACTTTCTACCTCCACAAGGGGACTGAAAAGTTTTTTACATGTGAGAAGAGCTGGAACAACAGCCCTGATGATGCTGGGCATCTTTAGCTACTTACCTAAGCTGAGAAGAGGTCTGAGAACCTGAGATTTGATATCACTCAGTTTTGAATAAAACCGTCTTTCTGTAGTAGCCAACTCATGGAGACTGGCAATATAGCCCATAATATTTTTGTCCACCAAGGTTAGAAAGTTGTCTTTTCCTGCTGTCACTCCGCTGATATACCCAAGCTGTAATAAGAGAGAAGAAAAAGATTACAGCGACAAAATGTAATTTGCTAAGTGCAATTTGGTGCACCAAAGTGAACTCATACCAGTTAGTGTGAGTTAACTGTTAAACAGAAAAATTGCAAGCTGGCTATTAATGATTGGTAATTTTGCTCAGTTAAAGTAACAAAAAAAGTGGCAATATACTTCTATATATGTATATCTAGATCTGTGGCTCTGCTTGCATCAGATGGATCTTGGCTGAAAGCACAGAATATCAGAAAGATATTTACCAGTGAATGATTGATTACAAAGGCACCTGATGGTAGGGACCACAACAAACTGTGAGTAACAGTGTGAAGAATGAAAATGCCACAATCCACAATTGTGCTCATGGGAACCTGGACACAGGAAGTCATTCAAACAGAACGAGGGAATCACGTGTGGTTAAAAATCAGGAAAGGTGTACATCAGGCTTATATCCTCACACCATACTTATTCAATCTGTATGCTGAGTAAATAACCTAAGAAGCTGGACTATACGAAGCAGAACATGGCATCAGGATTGGAGGAAGACGCCTTAACAGCCTACAGTATGCAGAAGACACACTGTGCTTGTTGTAAGTGGAGAGAACCTAAGGTAATTACTGATGAAGGTAAAAAAGAGTGTGGATTACACCCCAAAATAAAGGAAAAAATTCTTTACAAAAAGAATTTTTGGACTGATAAGTAATGCCATAATAAACAGAAAAGATCAAAATTGTTAAGAGTTTCATTTTACTTGGATACACAATCAACATTCATGGAAGCAGCAGTCAAATCAAATGACTGCCCTGCACTGGGCAAATCTGCTGCAAAAGATCTCTCTTGAGTGTTAAAGAGCCAAGATGTCACTTTGATGTCCAAGGTTCATTTAACCCAAGTATTGGGTCAACTGTCTGGTGAGCAATGGGAAATTTCCTTATGCACTGGACTGAAGACGACCTGATGCCTTTGGATGATGGCATCGTTAAAGAACATTAAGCATGTCATGGACGAACGGGTTTGTGTCGGAAGTGCAGTCAGGATGCTCCTTACAAGTGACAATGGCGAGACTTTACCTCATGTGCTTTGGTCCCTTGAGGAGGACGTCATACTTGGTGGAGTGCAGGGCCAGGGGAAAAACAAATATCTTCAGCAAGATGGCTGACACAGTGGCTGCAACCACATAGGTTCAAATAGAGGAATGACTGTGAGGATGTGCAAGACTGGGCAGTGCTTCTTTCTGCTACGCATAGGGTTGCTATGAGTCAGAAATGATTTGACACCTAACAACAATAGATCCATAGCTATAGCTATACTCACATATATATCTACACTTCCATAATCATTTATGTCCATTTTTAAGTTTCACAGTTCAGTTTTTTGGGACCACAGATATACAGGCAATATGAACATCCAAATGATAAAAATGTATGTCTCAAGACTCCTTTTTGAATGTGATAGGATTAAGGCAAGCAGAGAGGGTCTCTATGCTGTACACTGAAATAGCAAGATCTAGCTGTAAACTTGCTTCTTATCACATAAAGGTGATTTTCTTTCAAGAGGACTTTTTGTGTCTTTTACCAGTGATACTACTAAACAAAATCTTTCAATGTCCGTCATCACGTGTCCCTACAAGAACAAACAGCCAAAGCTGCTGACCCGACAGACTACCAGCAGCCTGTGGTTACCACCCAACAGACTACCAGCAGCCTATGGTTACCAAAGACCAATTAGAGCCTTGTCCCAGCCATCAGGCTATTTCATCCGTGCTCTCTGCAATCTTCCATGAGGAATGTGGGCCAGGACCAACAACCACCAAGACTCAATGTGCATGCCTGGGAGAACAAGCCAAACCTTGGCCAGTGTTGCTGTTAGCAACACTGTTACCCGCCTACCTTACAGTCATAGCCAGGAATTACACGCACAGGAACAAAAGAGAATCCATGGGATAGACCATTCGAAAACTAAAAAATCCAGACAATAGGAACTTGGAGAGTCATTTCCTGACTTTGAAGATCTGCATTATTTTAGTGGCCAAAGGAAAATAGAAAAGGCCTGACAAAACTACTCAAGGAAATCGGACTAACAGGAACATTTCTCACCATTATAGAGGCCATATATGATAAGCTAATGGCTAACGTCACTCGATGGGGAAAAACTGAAAGCATTTCCCCTGTAAACAGGAACCAGACACCACTTTTATTCAACATCGTGCTGGAAGTCTTAGCCAGAACTATTGGAAAAGAAAAAGAATTCAAAGAACTTCAAATGGCAGAAGATGAAGTAAAATGCTCACCTATTTGCCTATGGTTAGCAAATAGAAATCAAGTGGATTTCTGTAAGCTAATGCAGAGAGCTCTGATAAAGCCATCAAGTGAAAAAGAAGGGGGTCCAAAGAATTAAATAAAATGCCAACCTGAGAGCCAGGGGCCATCAGTGGGAGCTAAAGCACTGCTCGTGGACTGCCTGTCTGCCACCTGCTCACCTTGCACCCCTGCAAGAAGCAAGCACAGAAAGAACCCTGTGACCATCGAGGAAGAAGAGCCACCAGTGGAGAATGTTTAGATCCCTGTCTGAGTAGTGGAGGTAACAAAGGCATCAGATGCTGCAGCACAGAGACCATGAGTCAGAGCAGAAGAGCTGCATGGAGACCACGAGACTGAGCACAGGAACTGGGGCCACGTGGCCTAGAGGCTGAGGGCCAGAGACAGACATGCTGCCAGATGGTCAAGAAAAAGCTCTGAAGATAAAAGAACTGTACCATCACCATTTTGTAACCTGTAAGCTTCCATAATAGAACCCTTTAATCAGGACTATTATGTGAGTCTGTCTGGCCACAATAAACCTTTGAATGCAAGAGAGAAGTGGACTGCATTGGAGGGATGGTTGGTGTCAGCACAGCTGTAAGACATGTCTGACTTCCGACTTCCATCAATCAGCCTTGGGATGGTGTAGAGTTGGATTCTCCTCTCTGTGGAGCCAGAGGTTAGATGTGGCCCCCATGCTATTTCCTCACATTTAGAAATGTACCTACCCCATCCTACTGGGAAACTTCATTGTGAAATAGTCTTTGGAAGAATTCGACAAGAGGGCATGCATTTAATAAAGGCAGGATGGGAAAGGGTTTTGCAATTTAAAATAAGGTTAAATCACAGATAATGTGGTAACAGGCATAGATACAGAAAGCAAAACTAAAACGTTCCATGCATTACTGAATGGAGGCTATGGGAACCAATTCCTTTTCACCTTATGACAGGAGAGAAGTACTGGACTCTTAGTGCCACTCTGAGACTCTGGAAGGCTGTCACCTTCAGTCGGGACCTGTCGACCACTGTAATATAATCCAGGCTGGAAATCTTCTGTGTCCACTAAAAACAGGGAATAATCTGGGCCTGCCGTGACACTCCAGGTGCCACTTACACCATTTACCTGCAAGGACAGCAAGATACAATTTGTTCCAGAGGAAGGTAATCCAACAAAACCTTAGATTCATGAAACCTGGCCTGGCCCAAATCCAGCCTGTCTGGGGAGAATTGGCCCCACAATGTGTCCAATCCAAATGCAAAAGAGATGCGGGGGCTGTCAGAAATCCCTTATTCAGTTTTCAAATTTAGAATTGGATTGTATCCAAATAACTTACTTCCTGTCAATTAAAAATTCTACTGGAGGACGGAGTCTTCTTAGTCTTTATTCAAAACTAATTTGGGTAGTTAGGTTAAATGTAATAGTTCATCATTTGAGCTCTTTTGACTCATTTTAAATTTGTACTAGTTTTTAACAGTTTCTGCTTTTTTGTTTGATGGTTTTTCTCTGGTTTATCTCTGTTGTTGCTTTTGTTGTTGTTTATTTGCTTGTTTCTTGCTTTTCTTTTGTATGATTTTTCTGTGTGTGAAATCTAGGATAGATAAATGTACAGAGAGAGTCACTGGATTAAGGACCTAGGGGCATCACATGAGACCTGGTGGCTCAGCGGTTGTGCGTTGGGCTGCAATCTGCAAGGTGTGCACCTTAAAACCACCAGGTGCTCCGAGGGAGAAAGACGGGCACCCTCCTCCCTCGGGGGCAGTTCTAGCCATCCCATCGGGTCACCATGAGTCAGAAGATACTCGGTGGCAGGAAGTTTGGTTTGGCTGTAGAGGCACGGCAAGGTGGTTGGGGGGAAATGAGCTAACAATGACCACAAGAAGGAAGAAAATGCTCTAAAACTGATTGTGGTGATGAATGCACAACTCTTCTTTCTATGGCTGAACGACTGAATGATACAATATGTGAATGATAAGCCTATAAAACTATTTTTTAAAAACTAATTTGGATTTCATTATACTCCTATTTTTAATTCTAAAAGGTCAATTAGAATGACTTCAAAATGTGACTCTCATTTGCCAAACAAAACCCCAAAAGTTCAATGTCGCAAGTTTTACGTGTCCAGTAGGATCAATGAAACTAAAAACTCAGAGCAAGTTCCATGATCTCTTCTCTGAATCTAAAATGTTTAATAGAAGCTTGATTTCTAGGGTCTCCATCCTTAACAACAAAATTCCCTTTGTATGAATAAGCTGATTTTCTTATTTTTCCCCAAATAAATAAACAGCAGGGAACAATTTACTATGTTTACTTGTGATAAAATATCAGGAAATTAATAGCTTACTAATGAAATGTTTAAACTGAAAAGACTTTAATCGGTTCGAGTTAGAAGTGGGTTACACATTGAGCTGGTAGCCACAAGGTCAGTGGTTGGAATTCAACAGCCATTACATGGGCGAGAGATGAGAATGTCTACTCCTGTCAAGACTTAAGTTCTCTGAAGTCCAAGGGAACAGTTCTACTCTGTCCTATAGGACCGTTATCAGTTAGAATCGACTGGAGGGCAGTGAGCCTGGTTGTTAATGCTTGCAGAGAAGCAGCCCTGGTGCACAGTCTTTAAGCACTGGCTGCTAACGGAGAGGGTGACAGCTTGAACACACCAGTCAGTCACTCGAGGGAAAAGACGTGCTAATCTGCTTCTACAAGTTAGCCTTGGGAATCTAGGCAGTTTACTCTGCTGGGGCTTGTTATCGGTCAGAACTGTAGCAACGGGCTCTTAGTTCTTAATGATTTAAGAACACGGGTGACCCGTGGCTGTGGGCAGTGGTTCCAACCAAACCCACCAGCAGTTCTTCAGGGGAGAAAAGATCTGGCAACTGGTAGAAAGAGTACAGTCCAAGAAACCCTGTGGGGGCAGTTCTACTGCGATCTACAGAGCCACTGTGAGTTGGAAGAGACCCAGTGGCAATGGGTTAAATGCTTTTAAGACTTTACTTCCCAGTAAAATTAAGTTCATTGAAAGGAAAAAGTAATGTTTCATTATATTGCCATAAAATCTTATACAAGGGGATTCAAGAGTTCATGGAAAAATTCCGTGATCTTTTCATTCTGCTTTTCCATGAACTTTTGAGCCCCTCTTACATAGCGACGGGCACACGGATATTAAATGCTTGAGTTATTGTAACATTAATTAACTGCATCTTCCATTTCAATCATGTTTCTGAAACTGAGGTAAGTAACCTTATTCAGACTCTAGTATGTTCCACGGAGGATGTCGTGGGGAAAAGGAGTGGGGATACAGACGATGCACTATTCCACTACGCTCACTAGTCCAGGCCCCAACACACAGCAGAGCTGCCGGAAAGAGAGGAAGGGCCCCAGGGATATCCAAGGCTGTAATCTCAAGGAAGCAGGCTGTCATATCTTGTCCCATGAGTGCGAGGGAGTGGGGTTTGAACCATTGTGCCTTTAGGGATTCTTTCAAAGGGACAAGAAGTTAGAAAGCTGTGAATACTGTACCCTGTGAAAAACTCAATGTACGCAGTGTAAAAATTCACCTGTCCTTTTTGCTCCATTATAGGAAGCGAAAAGGCTTACAGAAAGTTTTTAGTACTGTGTGTGCAGAAAACCCAAAAAGTTATGCAAGTCACATTTAGTGAGAAGCCAAACAATAGACATTATTTGGGAGTATAGAGCTCAGAAGCCAACATAACAGTGGTAGGAAATTGTATGTTCTAAAAGAAAGCACTTCCTAACTTTTTGCTTTTAAAAAAAGACAATAGAACTATGAATAGTACTTGAACAGTGGAGGCCAAAATGAGAAAAAGGCTAAGAAATCAAGAAAGAAAACAACATTTAGATTGCAAACAAATGGGTTCATTTTTAAAAAATAAAATGTTGAGAATATCAAAGCGAGTCTACACACACACACACACACACACACACACACCCCTAATTTTTTTGGAAATAGAACATGGAAAACCACACAGGGTTATAGTTCAGAATTCTGGAATAAGCTACTCTCAACGTGAACCACGTTGGCAAAAGTACCTTTGCAAGCCGAGGGACCGTTGTTGGAGAATCTGAATGTCCAAGCTGACCGGCGGTATTGCTGCCCCACGAATAGACCTACCAGAGAACCACAGGGCAGTGGGGGAGACTTGTGAATCTGATTTTGTGTGTCTACTATGGACCTCGCACAATCATTTTTTCACAGTTACAGATAAATAGACTAGTTTCCCTACTCCCTTTTAAAATAATGAATCTTAAGAAAGTTCATTTGTAAACAAGACCAATGTAAAGAACAGGTAGAGTACCTAAGACACAGAGTCCAAAGGCTGATAGATATAACTAACATTTCTGAGGTGCTGCTTAGCTAAGCTTTGTTCTTAATACTTTCCCTGCATTAATTAATGTTTAATTCTCACAACCATTGCTTTATTTTATTTATTTATTTTTAAATAAACATTTTATTGGGGACTCTTATAACAATCCATACATCAATTGTATCAAGTGCATTTGTACATCTGTTGCCATCATCATTTCCAAACATTTTCTATTTGAGCCCTTGTAAATTATTTCCATTTTCATATTTTACACTATCTGCTATCTCCCTTCACCTACATTTCTGTTGTTCATCTCCCTGGGGGTGGGGGTTGTATGTTGATCATTGTGATTGGTTCTCACTTCCTTCCCCTTCCCCTTCCCCTCATGGTATCGCTACTTTCAATACTGGTCCTGAGGGGTTTATCTGTCCTGGATTCTGTGTGTCGAGAGCTCTTATCTCTAGCAGTGTACATGCTCTGGTCTATGGGTTTGTAAAATAGAGCTGGGGTCATGATAGTGCGGGGTAGGAAGCATTAAAGAAGTAGGGGAATGTTGTGTGTTTCGTCAGTGCTACACTGCACTCTGGCTAGTTCGTCCCTTCCTTGTGGCCCTTCTGTGAGGGGATATCCAATTGTCTACAGATGGGCTTTGGGTCTCCATTCCTTCCTTGTGGCCCTTCTGTGAGGGGATATCCAATTGTCTACAGATGGGCTTTGGGTCTCCATTCCGGCCTCCCTTGTTCACATCAAAAGATTGTTTGTTTGGGTCTTCTGATGCCTGATACCTGATCACATCAACACCTTGTGATCACACGGGTTGGAGTGCTTTTTCTATGTGTGCTTTGTTGCTTCCCTGCTAGATGGCCATTTGTTTAACTTCAAGCTTTTAAGACCCCAGATGCTCTATCTTGTAATATCCGGGCACCATCAGCTTTCTTTACCACATTTGCTTATGTACTCATTTTGTCTTCAGTGATAGTGTCAGGAAGGGGAGCATCATAGAATGCCAGGTTATTAGAACAAAGTGTTCTTGCATCGAGGGAGGACTTGAGTAAAGATTCAATGTTCATCTGCTACCTTGATACTTAACATATAAATGTCCATAGACCTATATCCCTATATTTATATTAATATATTTACATATATACATGCCTACATTTATACCTCTATAAATGTCTTTTACTTCCTAGTTCTTTCCTCTACTTCCTTTTACTTTCCTCCTGTCCCACCATCATGTTCAACCTTCATTTGGCTCTCTCTACATTGCACTTGACTGAACCCCACCAGGCATTCTGTGTCCTCCTGGCCATCAATTTTAGATCTCTTGCTGTTCCCTGGTCCCTGGGTTTGTTGGCACAACTGTTGCTTTAAATAAGATACAGAAACTGCCCAAGAGATTAAATAACTTAACCAAGGTCACACACAGGAATTACCCTATACTGGTAAAGGGCAGCAGTTATGCATTGGAATGTTGATTGCAAGGCCAGAAGTTGGAACCCAGCAGACACTCCGAAGGAAAAAAACTGAGGTTTTCTGCTCCTATAAAGACTTAGCCTTGGAAACTCAATAAATCTTTATGAGCATAGAGAGCCTCAAATTTCTCTTGTAGAACAGTTGATGGGTTTGAACTGCTGGCCTTGTGGTTAAAGATCCTTCACTCATTCAGCAGCACCTCCAAAAATACTTCTGTATAAATACAAACTTCATTGAAATGATTCTGGAGGTCATTTTCAGGTCCCAGAATTTTAGGGAGGAAGAGTATGTAAATCCTCTCATCCCCAACTCCCCAACTCAAACATGTGAATTATGGATTTTCTTCATCTGAGAATAAAAACAAACCAACATTCTCTTAAAAACGTGTGCCAAGTTGCCTTTCATAAAAAGATCAGCAATGATTCATTTGCTTCCTACCTGGGATTTCGCTGTAAGTGCAAGAGAATGGTAGCCACCTGCCTCTACATAGATTACTTCTTTACCATCCAGACATTTGACACACAGTGGTTGAAGCCTTAAAGGGAAACACACATACTCAAATGAACTCGAAGAAAGAAAGTACGTTCAACAAGAATCATGTCCTTTCTCATATTTTACAATAACTTCCTTGAAGTAAAACTAAACATTTCAAAAGGAAGCATAGTCAAAAGACTGTGTACATGCTTAATTTACTCCGCGTGCTCTAAATGATTTTTGGATGATTATATAAATATCTAACCCCATATGGAAGGATCATAAAACTTAATGCCCTGAAATAATCTAAACCTTAAACTGAAAATATCCCCTGAAGTCATCCTAAGTCTGATCAATAGTTTATTTAACTTAACTTGTAATGAACAACTGCCTTGAGCAGTGAGCTCTTAAACTGCTGCACACCTGCTGAAATGGTGTATGTCTTGCTGCATGGATTCTCAATAACAAATAAAATAATTTTTAAAAAATCATAACTACAAATGATCCATTAT